AAAACTTATAATATTAAAACATTCAACTACTTTCTTCGATAATTCAAACTGCAATATAAGTGAAGCGACCAAACAGTTAATTATGAGCCCAAAGTCTGGATTGCTGTTTGAAGTGGTTTTATGTCAAAGGACCATCTTTATTTTACAGGGAAACATACTACAGAGTATCATATAATAGTTCATGTGGTCAGGTTAGTTATGCTTGGTAAAGAGGTTAAAGGTGGCACATCCTCCTGTGAATTTAGAACTTTTTTGAATAAACTAGAACTGAGACAAAATAGGACTCAAACTTGCCTACTAGTCAGGTAATTTAATCAATTAAGATTTGCAAGTTAAATGTCCTAATTTTCAATTCTCACCTCACTGTTTAGTAAGGACCAATAATTAGTGAAATCAAAAGTGAAGTTGTAGTATTTGAAATGCGATATAAAGTTTAGATGGGTAAACTTTAGATGGGTAAGCACCTACCCGGTAAGCAGAGTCGCATGTTCGAATTCAGTCCGATCCCAGATTTATATTCTCCAGAAGAATTCAGATTAGATGTCAGAGTATCATCCACACTGACTGTTTGATAGCCATGTTTAAAGGTAATCATGTTCAGATTGACAATTTAAACAGCCACATTTCAAGTCCTCATGTCCAAATTGACGGTTTAAACAGCCACGTTTCAAGCTCTATATGTTTTTTAATGACTGACTGTTTAAACGGCGACGTTTCAAGGCCCTCATGTCCAGACTGACTGTTTAATCTGTCCCGTTTCAAGGTCCTCATGTCCACACTGACTGCTAAACAGCCACCTTTCAAGGTTTTTACATCCAGACTGAATGTTTAAACAGCCACGTTTAAAGGTCCTTACATCTAGACTGAATGCTTAAACAGCCACGTTTCAAGGTCCTCATGTCCACACTGACTGTAAACAGCCACCTTTCAATGTTTTTACATCCAGACTGAATGTTTAAACAGCCACGTTTAAAGGTCCTTACATCTAGACTGAATGCTTAAACAGCCACGTTTCAAGGTCCTCATGTCCACACTGACTGTTAAACAACCACCTTTCAAAGTCCTTATATCCAGACTGAATGTTTTAAAAGCCACGTTTAAAGGTCGTTACATCCAGACTGAATGATTAAACAGCCACGTTTAAAGGTCCTCATGTCTAGACTGACGGTTTAAACACCTACGTTTCAAGGTCCTCATGTCCAGGCTGACGGTTTAAACAGCTACGTTTCAAGGTCCTCATGTCCAGGCTGACGGTTTAAACAGCTACGTTTCAAGGTCGTTACATCCAGACTGACGGTTTAAACAACTATGTTTCAAGGTCCTTAAGCAAAATGACTTTGTGAGAAAACATCTACTAAATCCAGTTACACATTTAGAATGATTAGTCAAACATTGTAAAACTACAACCATAACATTCAACATGTTCATTAATATTAGTTTGATTTCAGTGATACTGAAAGTACTTGTATCTCCTTAATTTTAAAGCATGTAAGGAGTTTTATATTTCATAGTTCTATTTTTTTCCTCATGAAAATTTGTGTATAGAAATTGTTTTTATTTGTTGTGCTATATTAATTACCACGACTAAGTTGAAATTTAATAAAATATTTTGCCAATTATGTTATTTTACCTTCACCACTCTTTCTTGCCAGTCATAATTTTATTTTACGTATAACACTGTAGGTCAAAATACATAGATACCTATGTACCTGATATCCACCCCACAAATTATACTGACAAACCTGCATTAGAAAAATTAAATTATTATGGTATATTAAACAATCGTGCTTGTAAAGTAAAAATCAATTGCAATAGAAATAAAGAAAATAACAACACATTAAACTGTGCTACATCAAATGGCTGTGGAGTCAGAAGAAGTGACGATAAAAGCAGGGAAGGATGTGTCTTTTAGTAACGTATAATATAGGAAGGAAGACAAATAACATTAGACAAGGAGTAATATAGGAGAAAACAACACATTATACTGTGCTACATCAGATAGTTGTTGAGTCAGAAGCAGTAACGATAAAAGCAGGAAAGGATGTGTCTTTTAGTAACGTATAATATAGGAAGGAAGACAAATAACATTAGACAAGGTGTAATATGGGATAAAAAACACATTATACTGTGATTCATCAAATAGTTGTTGAGTCAGAAGCAGTAACGATAAAAGCAGGAAAGGATGTGTCTTTTAGTAACGTATAATATAGGAAGGAAGACAAATAACATTAGACAAGGTGTAATATGGGAGAAAAAACACATTATATTGCAATTCATCAAATAGTTGATGAGTCAGAAGCAGTAACGATAAAATCAGGAAAGGATGTATCTTTTAGTAACGTATAATATAGGAAGGAAGAAAATAACACTAGACAAGGAGTAATATGGAAGAAAACAACACAATTACTAGCTAAACCCTATATTAGAATTAAACTTATACGTTTACATGTTTTGTTGAAAAATGTCGAAGTACTGAACATTGGAACGCGTATTTAACACGTTGAGGATACTTAAATAAGTTAGATTTGTTTTGAAGTAACCTATATGTACTTAAACATTGTATATATATATCTTTGTATGTGTTAATCCAGCATTTGAAATAAAAAACACATTACATTTTACCTTACATGCTTTGTAGTGATCTTCAACCGTTTAACTGCTTTGTTTGATAACTAATTTAAAGGAAATTAACAACATAACTCAAACGTTGTGATGAAAAACATTATTATTGAAACACACAAACAACTGGAAGTTATTACATAGTTTTCAACGTTAATGGTATACATTCAATATACACACCGTCTCAGCCGCTTTAGAACATTCGGCTAAGACTGTTCTTATTATATATATATTTATATACCTATACAAACCTTATTTTTACCCAGCCAGAGTGAAATAATTGTTACAACAGATTTACTTCTTCCATCGACAGTAATCATAGATGAGTAGCATGTCTTGCTTCAACAATAACCAGGACAAACAGAATATTCACATGGTACGAATCTTCCACTTTACACTAAAACTTTATATAAAAGCGACACGTAAAAATTCAGGTTTAATGCGCCAGTAAACAGTCCCTCCTCTCTCTCTATATATATATATTTATATATAACTGAAAAGTGAAGGTTTATAAGAAAATCAACTGGAAAGGCTGGTGTAGAAGCAGCTCACCGAGTAATAAAACATGTATTTTACATTGGTTACAAGATAAACAGAACTAAAGTAAAAACCACTTATAATAATACGCCACACTAACTCCACTTGATGAATCATTATTCCGAAGGGGCGAGGGGTTATTGAGGCAGAAAACCTCCTGTCACGCTGGGACTCAACGTTTTGGACATCAGGCGCCTAGTAGAGGTCCTCAAAACGGAACAGATGTTAATTCGTAACTGCAACTAAAGTGATGAGACTCGTACAGACGTATATCTATATAGAAGTAAGCCTAGTGAATGAATAGGATGTTCACATGATATCAGAAGTAAAGCCTTATAGCTAGGATGTTCAAATTATTTCTGCAGTGGCGCCTGGTGGATGGGATGTAGAGATCAGTTCAGCAATGAAGCCTAGTGGATGGGATTTTCAGATTATTTCAGCAATGAAGCTTAGTGAATAGGATGTTCGATTTAATTCAGCAATGAAGCTTAGTGGATGGGATTTTCAGATTATTTCAGCAATGAAGCCTAGTGAATAAAATGTTCGATTTAATTCAGCAATGAAACGTAGTGAATAGGATGTTCGATTTAATTCAGCAATGAAGCTTAGTGGATGGGATACTAAATTTAATTCAGCTAGCTTCCAGCTTTAAAATTTATATTTAGTTTACAAGAACACTAAAAACGAAACAATTTACACCACTAATAAATTATTGATTGCACCTTTGTTTGACAAATTCTTAATCAATAATATTAGATTTATTAATATCAGATAGCACTAAGCCTAACAAACTGCTACCATATTGACCGATGTTAAATTTAGACGTTAAGACCATTCGATAAATGTTAAGAATGATTTCAGATATTTCTATGGTGTCATGACTAGGCAATATACATTTCACTAATTAAATATTTCTGTTAGATAATATGTGGATTTCATGATAATACGTTGCTATTTTCTGATTATATTAACTTAACGTTATTTAATATATTATATGAAGTTTTGTACTGAACATATTGATAACTGTATTTCTTTGATGATGTTACTGTGCACTCTCGTTCTCTAACTACATATCTTTGTTTACAACTAATTATAACCGGGGGGGGGGGAATACAGTACATTTACGGTACTCACAACGAAATATGAATACAATTGGACAAGATAAAGTGTGTTGGAGTAAATATAAGCAACTGAATGAATCGATCGCCCATGGTATCCAAAAGACATTACCGCTGGAATCTCTTGAGATTCCAAGCTCCGCCTAACAAAGTTGCCAAAAAAACTAACAGCTGTAAGAACTAAGATACAAGGCTAACCCACTATTTATTGCTAGTAAGACACTTTTTTTTTAGTTACTGAAACTGCAGAGTTAACACAATACCATTCAGAGGGCGGGGGATTTTACAAGTTCTATACGCCCATAATACTTAATTACATAAACATTTAGTGTATAAGGGTTTGATCTATTTGACAGTACCGTAGGCAATACATAATAGGATGGTGTATTTTGATACCCCACAACAATTAAAGTCAGGCTCCACAGTCATATACCGCTATGTGCCCCTTGGCCATTTAGGGAAAATTTGCCCATTATAACGGAAATTAGTATGGTACATTTCTTATTACTCAGCTTGTAATTATTAAGTAACATTCGGGATTCTATGTGTATTCTTATATATATATGAATACATATTGCAAGGAGTCTTCTGCTTGACAATGTACATAAAAAGATGCCCCAAGTGGTACAGCAGCACGTCTGCGGACTTACAACGCTGGAAACCGCTGGTTTCGGTACCCGTGATGGGCAAAGCACATATAGCCCATTATGTTGCTTTGTGATTAACTTCAAGCAAACATAAAAATATTTTGGAAAACATAGGTAATGTCTGATTTAGAAACTTTGAAATTAAATATTTTCGTCTTCAGAAAACACAAAAGCATTTTCGGTCAACAGCATTTGACAAAATATCACATAATAACAGGGATGTACTTAAAACGTCACTCTTAAGCCTGAAATATTTTTTTAATGTCACGTGCACTTCAACGGGTGACGAGGTATGATAACTGTGGAGTTGAAATCAAGAACTTTTATATGTGAATTTACTAAATCATAATATTATTTATAAAAAATATTCACTGGCAGCTTGCCGCTGAGCCACTCTGAGTGGAGGGTGGGAGTGCATTTTATAAACGGTCTAGCCAATTCAAATTAATCAAGATATAACGAGACATAATAAAAATAAATGTCCTATGTGTACTATAACATAGCATTCACTGACCTAATTTGCATGTCTGTAAGGTGTATTAATCTTTTAAAATCAAATTTTACAAGAAATAAGTTTACTTAATCAAACCTACAATTCAGATAATTATTTCAAAATTTTACTGCAGATTTTACAAAACTGTCTTAAGCACCTTTGTGATTTATACGAGTTCTAATCACAATGTATCTAGAAATTCTGAAACTATATCAATAAGATAATAATACACAGGACTTATTTTTTCTTTAACAAATAATTACTTCTTCGGGTTAAGATTCCTAGTCAACTTCTAGTCTTATTCAGCTGTACCATGTTTCCTACACTGTTGAATAACATACTTATTTAGTGTTTCTTATTTACCAGATCTTGGAATCTGTTCAAAATTGCCTAAAGCAAGAAGGAAACTAAAGTCAGTAATTGGTTTCAAGATGCAGTATATCTTTGATGACAAGAAAACGGCCTTCTATATCAAACCAGGCACGATAAATAGGGTTCGACGTGCCTGTATCCATATAGCTTTGATGTGCTGAGCACTGCAAAATTCACAGAAGTTCAGATATGTGCCTTTTATTAGTCTCTAGTGTGAAGAGAGAGAGGTACGGTTAGGGATAACTTTATACCACGTGTAGAGCTCAGTGGAATAGAATATATCTGTATGTACAAACTGTGCAAAGGCTGCACATCTAAATGTAAATAATACCTTCAAAGGCTGTAGATTTTCTTCTGTCTCTCTCTTTCTTTTCTTTTTTTTTGACAAAGTGAAGGATTAACAAGAAATAAACAGAATGTCATTTTTCCCTTCCGACCTGTACAATTGTAATATCTATAAATAAACTTATCGTGAGACGGTAAGCAAAACGTCCATCTTTCAATCAGGGTCACTGTCCGTGAGCGTGGACAGGCGAAGGACTACAACTGGATTCCGTACTGGTCGACACGGCTGCGGGGCTTTCAAGAGGAAAGCTGATACCGCCGCAACTGCCACAACTCCCGTTGGTGCTCTCCGTTTCCTCGGTAGTCGGTCTTCGCTCCGAAGAGTGGGAGGTTCGCTGATTAACCGGAGACGGGTTGCCCTGGCTGGTCGCCGTATCGTTCCCACTCGACATATGTCGACTTAGATGTTGCTGTTGGTGACGGTGCAGCTGTTGTTGAAGAAGTCTGTAGAGTGGAAATAATACGAGGTTTAAGAAAAGATTTATATATTAGAACGCTTAGAATATCTAAATAGTGAAATCCAACAAATAGAAATCATGCATCATAGTACGATTAATACTATGCCATGATTTTGTTTTATTTCCTCTATTCTTACAAGTTAACAAACCAATTTGAAAATTGAAGACTGTTCAGCAAAAAGCCAAAATATTAACGCTGGAACAGTAAAATAAAATAAAAACCTGTATAATGAAATCTCACGGAAAACGAAGATATAAATACGTTGTCTTCGATTAGGGCGAAAAAAAAAGCTGTTGATTTTTTTGGTGTGGGCATAGAGACTAGCAAAACAAAACAAACATAGAAACGCATACTGACGAGTGTAGTGACGTCATCTGTTAACCTCGTTAACTTTGAAGTTTTTGTTTTTACTTTATTACAAAAACTGATGTTTGCCTACTATTTTACTGAAGTTTCGTTTTCATGAATCTTATATTTTTAATTTTAAATCACTGATGTGCCACAATTCCTTATGTGTTCGCTTCATACTAGGATTTTTTGTCACGACCGAGTCCCTCTTGGTCTCGGTTTTTACCCCTTTAAAGAACATATTAGCTTAACATGTTTGCATGCTACTTTTCAATCTTCTACAACTAAAAAAAAGAAAAGAAAGCTTAATGGTCATCTTGACTCAATATTGAAATGCGTTCTGGACTGTACAAGGCAACTGACATGCATAGCTCAGAAAAATCACAATGTTACTTTTACTAACGGGCTGAGTGAGAGTTGAAAGGCGGGGAGTTCGTGATTCCCGTAGTTTAATTGGTTGGAACACCTCTACGATCGAATCCCGCTCAACTCTCAGTTTTAATTTCTTCAGAGGATCATATACCTCAATCGAGTTTGAGCTTTCAGCGTGTAGGTTCAAACACGAGTCGTTTGATCTTTGAGTGTAACAGGCTGAAACGTGTTGTTTGATCTTTCAACATTTCAAAGTTGAAACAAGTGTTTTTGATTTTTCGATATAACAGGCTGAATTGTGTTATTTAAATTTTCTGTATTTCAAGGTTGAACAAGAGTTTTTTTTTATCTTTCAATATTTCAAGGTTAAAAAATGAGTTCTTTGATCTTTCAATGTAACAGGGTGAAGCATATTTTCTTTGAGCTTTCAACTTGACAGGCTGAAACGTGTTATTTGATCTTTCAATGTTTCAAGATTGAAACGTATTTTTTTCGTCTCTTTATGTACCAGGTTGAAACCAGAAAAATAACTAATTTAAATTTTAATGAATGCTTTTCTCAAATATCAATCCATAGCTAACAAAACTTGCTAACAACAGTCTGTAATAAAAATGTCAGCTTGAAAACATATGAAGAGATATTCGGATTTAGTATTACACACCCGATTTTATCATTTATTTTATCATGAAATTGTGTATCATTTTCAAGTAAAATTAAAACAAAAAATGCAGCATAGTGCTTAAGGAACGGGGAGTGTATATGTATGTCTGTATATCTGCATGAGAATTTAAGCTAAAAAATCATATACCAACCCAATTTTATGTAGAAACAATTTTTTTTAAATGGGTAGATCAAGGAAAAGACGTTAATTGCTATTAATTTCATAATTAATTATTAGTTACACACAGGAGTTTATTAATGTGATAATAATTAATGTGATTAATGTGTAATATCATACAATTCAGATCATTAATCTTTGGAAATACTCCGGTCGCAAGTGTTCAACGATAAATGAAATCACAAACGACTCGAACCATCTCATAGATTCCAAATGTTGCCAAGGTTGAAACATTTTCGTAAATAGAACACATACTAAAAACACGAAAGTCAGAATCTTTTCCCACTAATAGCTTTCTCAGAAGTCAAAAACTATAAAATATAATAAACCCGTATACGCTCTATTTCTCTACGGTGCTATAATCAGCTATTATTTACTGTGTTGAATTAATATAAATATTTGTAGCCACCCAATGCTTAATACGACATGTTCTTCGGGAACTGTAAAAGTTATTCAACTAAGCCTAACATCTGAATATCTCCACAGAACTTGCAAGTTCTCTCCAATAAGCCATGACAATCTGTTTTGTGTGCACGAATGGCTGTACAATGACTTCGTTCACAAAGCGAGAAAGAGTGCGTTTATTCCAGCTCTTCTACAAGTTCAGCTTGCGTGATGAGACCCATAAACAAAGCCGATTAAACACACGGAAATAATAGATAGATGGTTACATCTTATATTGCTTTTAATAAACCTTCTATTTCCAGATTAAATTTTGAAAAACGGTACACAATTCGGTATAAATAAGAATATGTTTAAGTACTCCCAATCTGTTTAGATATATAATTCAAATTAATATAGGTCTTATACAATGAAAGCATAACCTAATTTCTGCTCTATAAATGAAAAACGTAGATTAAGAGAGAAATAAAGAGAGCATGTACGTTCGATCAAAAGATATTCTAATGTGTCGGTATCATGGTTTCAAATATCTGTATTATATCAGTGACATCTAATTGAGATAAATTACGTAAATCTTTATTGAATTTGTCTGTTGTATCCATCCGATTTAAAGAAGTAACTTTGTAATTACACATTCAAAATATGGTTGAGACATGAATTATTTAAAGTTCTATTCCGATACATAAGCATTCTACACTAATAACAACAAGAATAAGATAACACGTTAACAACAACATGCGATTGTAAAGATGGTTGAAACAATTTTGGATTTTTATGGTAATTCAGATGATACGTGTAACAAACCAATGTGAAACGAAGGATTTATGAAAATTACTTTATGCATTTCATCTCTAGACAGTGACGAATATACTATTGCAGCTGCATTTGATTTTCGAAATGTTTGTGTACAATCTTAGAATTTCGCGTCTTACCGTTTGTATGCATATGAGTTAGTGTGAATATGCTCTTTAAAGAATACAAAACATTATTGTACGTGGTTATAGCATAAGTTGTTACATTTGGTCTTTGTATATATAACTATTAGCGTGTGTGGTACTTGAAACACGAGCACGAACTTTAGTTACTATGAATGCGGCATCATCTACGAAACATCCATCACTACCAAGAGAACATAATGAAGTTTTTGGCATGGGTATAGACTGAAGACTAATTTACACGAGAAGTCATAAGCCTGGTTGGTTGCTTTCCTGCAGATATATTTATATTAGCGAACACTTATATAAGTGTGATTTTACACAGGGTTGAGAATTAAACTAAAAACTGAAACGACTTATATACATGGTTATATACAGTAAAATTTGAGATGAGTTGTGACAATGATTATAAGCAGTTACTCTGAAATGACTTGTGTCCATGGTTATCGAGAATATATTTTGAGTCAGCTTGTATCTATGGTTATATACAGTTAAAGCTAGAACAACTTGTGTCCATGGTTACGAGCATTATATCCTAAAATAATTTGTCCCCATCTTTAAAAACATTAAACTCCGAAATAACTCGTGTCCATCTTTAAAACATTACACTTCCAACAACTTGTGTTCATGGTTATGAACATTATATCCTGAAACAACTTGTGTCCATCTTTCAAAACAATACACTCGGAAACAACTTGTGTCCATCTTTAAAAACATTACACTTCGAAAAAACTCGAGTCCGTCTTTAAAACATTACTCGTCTAAACAACTTGTGTCCATGGTAAAAACTGCACTTTGCGGTAGAGTAATCCAGGAGCAAGTTTGTAAGAAAACGTTTTAGTCTATAACACTCTAAAGGCTTTTCAAAATAGGCAAAAAAAACAAACAAACAAACAACAATTTCGAAAACAAATTTACGAAATATTTTCCGCTTATTAGATACAATCGGTGAAAAATGATGTTCGGGAATGTGACCGTAGCTGTTTAACGACTGTCGTGATAAGTTTCCATTATAGTTAAACAGTAATTCAAGACAATATGTGGTTAATAAAACAACACAGCTTGTTCATTATACCACACAAGATTTGGTTGCTACGGTAATTTAGTTTCATTGTTGCAAATTTGTTACGGCTGAAATAAACACGCCAAGCTAAGGATGATTTGGTATTTTCCCTTTGAACGTCTCCGTGAGACATATGGGCAAAACGACTAGGTCAGAGACGTCTAAAGTTATGGCATACTCATCCCTAATTTAGAGTTGCTGATACTCTTAACCGAATAATATGATTTACACTTTAAACGCCCTCACAGATGAAATGGTGGAGCGTTTTCAGGGGCATATCGAAGCTTAAACCTTGAACAATCCGATCGAAGCTCGGCACGATAGCCCCCAGATCACGCACCGTCCAAGAGATGAAGAGCAAACGTTCAAATAGCATAATTTTTGCATTATTTGCTTTTAGGGGAGTACTTATCTAGCCGACGATCAACGTTTGTCCTTTTGTTGTTGTTGTTGTTATAAATAAAGAGATAACTAATTGCTGCCAACAAAAATAAGTTAACTTCTTATTTACAGGCTCTACAAAGGTTAAAATTATGTAACAGGTAAGATGTGTTTCTTAACACGTATAAGATACAGTGAAAATTAAGATAAATTATGATGGTGCAGATCATCTGAATTGAGTTTTGATTTTAAAAATTCACTTATCTAAAATACACAGATTAAGCTGCATTAATTCTTGTTAAACCTTTTTGTCACACGCCAAAAAGAATGAAATTTAAGCACAGTTGGTCGATAAAACACAAGTTTTAACATCTTTATTTACAAGTGATCTATTCATTGATAATTTGTGTGGCATTGTATCACGAAAAGACTGATTATAATTTGTTTTATAAATCTTTCTTTACCAATCCTATACTATAATAACAAGAAACATAATTGTATATCGTTTGAACAGTCAGTAATCCACAAGGATTACGAGTAAATTTCTGAACGAAGTTCAAAATACGACATTCATTTTATCGTATAGTGTTCTGCATGTGCACTGCAGTGAATCATGTGTTTGTTTCATCATGATAAATTTGTACAA